AAGGTAAATAGTCTAGATGCATACTGTCATCTGTCAATTGCCAAGTAGATCTAAATACATCAGAATTATCAGCTATAGTAGCATTGGGTATTATTATTATGCATTTGACAGGTTACAATAATGCAAAATGAAGCATATCGACAATTATAAAGGAATTACAAACTACAAAGTCTACATTGACATAATTTGAATTAATTTGTGCTTGTGTGTACTATTATTCTTTAATCAAATAATGTAGTTAATATTAATAAAAACCAATTGATACATCAAACAACTCTACAGGCAGAAACAATTCTAATACATTTTTACAGTCTCATCAATACATGTATATCTTAACTACCGGTATACAGTGGCGGATCTGGGCCCGGGCCTAGACGGGCCATGGCCCGGGCATCAGAAGTCAGTAATGAGATTCATTAGATGCAATGTAAACAATTCCCTGCCTCAAGTTTAGATAAAGCAAACCACAAGTACCTACAAGTGCTTCAAGGGCATTCTAAGCACTGCATAAATAAGGAAATTGTCATAAAAATGGCCAAAAGATGCATAACTGGTTGAAAAGTGGACACACCCACTTCCTGGCCCTACCATTAACTTGCACCCAGATCCGCCACTGCCGGTATATACCCCACTGAATACTTGGTGCACACACACACGCACACAAAATGCACATGCACTCTAACTGCAAGCCTAAAACAGTTTAAACAGGGCATTATTGATTGGATCGATGGCTATTTGATGCATTATGCCTTTAAAAGAATTTCATCGATAGCTAAAGATATGTGTGGTCGGCATAAGAATATAATATAAGAAAATCTAAAGCCCATTTCAAAAAATGTACAACCATTTTTGATATCAAATAGTCTACTATAATAGATTTCTTGATCTTGTTTGCATCAGCTGAATTTGAAAACTCTGAATACTGATGATGGATGTGGGAGATAGAGATCATTTCTGAGGGCGTGGTTCAGGAGCACAGAGATAAGCATAGAGGCGATTGAAGAAATGTCTTCGTGTCTTCTGTTACTGCTGTGCTGCTTCATAAGCAATGGGATATTACTGGAGGTTAATGGAAAGTCTTGTACTGAAGGATTTATGGATTATAGTCTTCTACAGAATAAAGCAAGAACTCCATCAGGGGCGTTACGTGATAACAGACTAACTGAAGGCACTGCAACAAGATGGATCATCATTGAGGATCAAGATGAGAACTTCATGAAGAAAGACATCATGTTCACGTGTGCTACAGTTATAACAGAAATATTGATTGGAGTTGATATAAGGACAGTTAATAATAATAGAAATTTATATCCAAAAATTGAAGTATGGGCTCCAAAGATTACTCTGCCAGACCGTCGAAAGATGCCGCTGCCGCCAATTAATGAGTACACTAGAGTGATATCTGTTGAAATCAGACTGACTCCTGATAACTTTACAACTAATGGACAGTATTGTTTCACTCTCCCTACTCCATTAAATGTCTCCAGTGGATACAGGATTGGTGTATATCAACCTCCTGATGACAGAAGTGTTGTTAGATTTCATTATATGAACCTTCCTACTAATATTGATGGAACAGGAAAAATACAATCAGATAAGATTAATGATACTAACATTAAAATATCAGGAATGGGCAGAGATGTTGATTATGAATCATCGAGAATACTAATACACCCAATAGTACAGAATACAAGTAATATTAACAATGATATTATTCATTATTCATGTTTTAATATAGGTTGCTACACTCAACTTTTGCTGCCAGAGAGCATAATATTACCCTATTCTATTACTAATGCAATATTTATTTCTGATACAAGAATATTTCCTGATATAAGGTTCACATGTGATGGTATTATTACTAACTGGATAGTTTATACTTCCTCACAATATATGCCAGTAATTAAAATAAGACATTCAAATAATCTCACTACTACAGCAGCAACATTGAACACTACTGCTAGTAATGCTGTTAGGATTACTTCTCTTTTATATAATTTTACTATGAGCAATGAGATAGCAGTACAAGCTGGTGATATACTGATGATTGAAAGTAATTCTACAAATTATATGTACTATCAACAATACAATGGACCACACAATTACAGACTGGTGGACAACAATGAGTTAATTGCATTAGATGACAATGACTATCCACTCATCTCAGTTGCAGTAGGTAAGAATAACTTCTATTCAGTATTATGAACATCAATAAACTCTCCCATTATAGAACCCATATCAGTAACTACTACTGGTACACCTTCTAATTACATTACAACATCAACCACATCCTCAATAACTACATCAGATACCACTTCACTGTCATCAGTTATGGGACCTTCATTTAGTAGTACTAGTATGACAAGATATTCTACTACTACTACAGTAACTGCTGTTTCTACTGTTACTACTGCTGCTGTTCCTACTGATTCCATTACTACTAATTCCATTACTACTGCATCTATTAGTATTACTTCCTCACTAAGCACTACAATGACTTCAACACCAGGACAAGGCAATGCAGGAAATCGTGCATCTATAATACTAATAGCAATGATCAGTGCAGTCATTGTACTACTGGTAGTTACTATACTAGTAATATTGATTGTCAGTGTGGTGCTGTTTAGGAAAAAGAGGAAATTATCAATACCTGTATCATCTACTAGGAATGATAGTAATAGTAATCATGTTTATACTGATGTTAGTAGTACTGGGAATGATAAAGGAAGACTTGGTGCTGTAAACAATCCAAACTATCAACTACATGGTATACATAATGAGAGCATTTATAGTAAATAATGTGCTTTTACTACTAACAAAACTATAATGCATGAATAGGTATATACATATCCTAAGTATGATAATAATGTTAATATTTATTATAGTATTATATGCTGAAGCAAAGCCTGCATTGAATGAGCATGATGATATGATTGCTAATGCTAGCTATGAACCTGCTACTGTCAGAGGAATAGAAAGTAAGACATGATGCTCACAATTAATGTGATGATGTCAACTAATGCAATGCTTTATTGTCAGTTATTCAAGTAAAAGTTTTGATTA